CAAGAGAGATCAAGAGAAGAGGGCTGACAACTTAGAACAGGCGAGCTTGGCATACTATAGTATATTATAGTATATTAAATTATCGTATAGTATATTCTGGTATATTCCAGTATATTCTGGTAAATTAGGGTATATTATGGTATATTACGGTATATTACGGTAAATTGTCACTGGAAGGGACAAGCTTGCAGTTCAAAGTTCATCAGTGCGTGGGCTCCAGGCTATGCTCACCAGGGGTCAGGCTTCAACTCGAAGGAAGGAATATTTGTTTTTATTGTTTTTTCAGTGCCACTTTACAATGGCATTTTTCCTGCTTGTCCTGCTCAGTCTGCCCCAATGCACCGATACCGATACACTGGTGGTCTCCTGCCGATCACTTTGGCACCTATACATTGCTTCCTGTAAGTAGAACGATACCAACACACCGATTTCATGCAGATGTACCGATAAAAAGGTCTCTTGCGGATGCACATATACCGCTTTCCCGCCGACACGCCGACACACTTATCAGGCGGTTTCCCGCCAATATCATACGCGATGCGCGAAACAGACCGTCGACACAACAAGGTATCACTTTCTGGCATAAAACGGCCTAACCGACGTATGCGGCCACGCAGCCTGTACAAGCCGTGTAACCGTATCTGGCGTCAGCAGCGTAGCTAGCATTTTTTTGCGTATCGGGTTGTAACTGGTGTAACGGGGCAACTTGTGCAAGCTGCGTAAGTGGCATGTGCGGTGTAACCTGCGCAACCCCTGTAATTGGTGTAAAAGGTGTAGTCAACCTGCAAAATCGGTGTGAGCGCTTTTTCGTTTTAGAGAGTGAGATGAGTCTAGCTCCATACCTCTCTCAGGACATCCTGCCTGCTGCGCCTTGATTGCACTCTTGAGATGGCACCGGCAGTGCATTGAAGCTAAAGTTCCAGGTTGCCATGTTAATACTTCTATTCATACGTATAATTCTCACCACCACTACTACTACTACTACTACTACTCCTGCTGTTATGATTTATATTTCTAGTCTTTTTATTACTGGTGTTATGTAGGGCATGGTTGCAGCTGACATGCCTCAGAGATTGTGAAGCTCAGCGCTGCCTAGTCTGTGCAGGTGCAGGGGCCCTATTGGGATCCAGACGGCCTGCGGCTTAAATGGTCATGTGATGTATACGTACACCCCTAAATTTTTTATGTGTATATATATGTATATATATATACATACTCATATGATATTGTATTATAGATAAAATGTCGTATATGAAATATGTATATTTGGAGGGATTACATACGAACTGTACTCCAAACTCCTCAACGGTTGGTTATATTGGGAATTGTATAGGTATGAGGAGTTCTGACCATAGGTCATGTGATGTCAGAGCCGTCAGTACTAAGCCGCTCTTCATCCCAACCCTAAACCCTAAATCTGTTAGGGTTTAGGGTTTAGGGTGTATCCGGGAGGGGAAAACCTGTGCAGGCTCACAGGCACAGAAGGCAGGACGTTGAGAGTTGGTAGGGTGGATGCTGAAAATCCAGGGGGGGGGGGTCTAGAAAAACTGGTTTAGGGTTTAGGGCTTATAGTTCCCCTTAAGTAGATAGAATATGGCTTTGGGTCTATTCTAATGAGATCCCCATATACCCCATATTCTATCTACTTAAGGGAGACTATAGGGTTTAGGGCCAGGAGCCCTGCAAATCCCAAACCTTGGGTTTTATGGTACGTACCATACCCTAATAAGGTCATGCAGGATTGTTCCTATCAGCAATAGGGACGACGCAACTCAAACCCTAAACCCCAAATACCCTTAAACCCTAACCCTAAACCCTAAGTAAACCCCAAACACCCTTAAACTCTAACCCTAAACCCGAAAACCCAAATACCTTCAACACCTAAACCCTCACCTACGAATTCATGATCGTGCCTCAGGCATTGGGGCTCTCGCTCGCCAACCTTGTGCTGCAGCTTGGTGAGGCCACTTACATTCTTATTATATAGGGGTTATATGGGTCTATTTAGGAATTAGGGTTTAGGGTTCAGGATTTAGGATCTAAACTCCTCGAAAGGGGCTGTATAGGGGATTATATATTGGAGTCTTATAGGGGTAATTCAGGAGGATACTAGAAGTTTAAACTATAGCTCATATGAGCTAGAGTCTAAACTTAAAGGGGGGTTACATAGAGGATTTTATAGGGTTCCTATTATGGGGGTTGTTAATGGGAGGCTGTAGTGGGACCCCGAACTAGGGCACCCCAAGCTTTGGAAACCTCATCTGTGCCATTGGATCCTTTGTCATTGTCTTGTCTTCCAAAAGGTGGGCTGCGCTTGATCCTGCATAATCTCGCCTGCACGCGCTTTGCGACCAAGGCAGAAAGGACTACTGTGTTGATTTAGGGTTTACGGTTTGGGGAGCTGTAAGTCCTAAACCCTAGACCCTAAGACTCTCGCCAGGGACTCTTGCCTCAAGTCCTTGACTGAGACTGGCCTTTGCAGTGAAGAGCCATATTGTGCTGTCAAAGCCAGCATCTTACTCTGCGTGCATTCTGCTTGATGCGACTTGTGTGGTTTGGGCTCGGGTTGTCCAGCGCAAACACCAGACCTTGCTGGTGGTTGGTAGGGGACAAGAGAATGTAGTATATAGGGATTATATGGGGGCTATATTCCCTTAATCTCCTACTAACCACCAGTAAGAAATGCGAATTCACCGACCCATCAGGGTCTCTTTAACCAGGCCGCGGGGCCAATTTGCCAGCTTGGGGGTTGAGAGTGGTGTCAAGGCCGGTTTAGGGTTTAGGGGTTTAGGGTTTAGGGTCTAGGGTTTAGGGTCTAGGGTTTAGGGTTTAGGGGTTTAGCTGAGTGCCCTATCCCTTAGGTCAGTCCGCCCTGTAGTAACAGCTCCTTAATATGGAGTTATTAGGGCCTTAATATATCTATAATAGTCCCTTGTGGTATTCATGACTGGGTGGGGGATTGACCCAACCTATCCCTTACGGGTGAAGGCTTTGGCTCCTGCTCAAGCTGGTGAACTTGTGAATAGTCTGCTGTAGGTGACACACGGCCCCAATAGCTAGCTGAAAGCACTGCCAAGCAATATCTCATGATACAAGTAATCCACTCCGCTGATATTCATACCCCCTAAAACTAGGGGGAGGGGATTACGGCGACTCTGAGATTGTAGCTACTGGGTGCTGCATATCAATACCCTATTCCTTGCATTCGAGATGAGTTGCCTGAGGCCAGGGTTGGCGTGGCACAATTGTAAGTTCAGGGTTTAGGGTTTAAGGTTTAGGTTTCAATCCTTGTTAGTGTGCTACCCTCTGGTTCCCCCTCAGTTAAGATTATATTCGGCTAAAGAAGGCTCCTTAGGGTCGCTTAGTATAGCAGGAGGTGGTTAGGAGAACGCAAATCTCAGAAGTTGGATACGTCGTTTCTCTCAGGAGGACCCCCCCCACCCTGTAATAGTGACTGTAAGGGAGAACTGCGATTATATTAGGGTCCTCTTATATTCCCATTATGCAACTACCCTAAGCCTTAAACCCTAAACCCTACACCCTTTTCCTATTGTAGAACTATAAAGGGGGGTGTCCTCCCAAACGTTTCTCTTGGGTTGCAGAACAAAAGGCCCTGGCCAAGCCCTTGGAGCGAAGCTCTGTGGCACAACTCATTCACTTGCTGGCGTTTCGTAAGGAATAAGGGAATATATTATATATGGTTATATGGGTTTAGGGTTTAGGCTTGGGGGTTCAGGGTTTAGGGTGTAGGATTTGGGGTTTAGGGTTTAGAGTTCAGGGTCTAAGCTCCTCAGAGGGGTTTGTATAGGGGATTATATACGGGAGAACTACAGGTGTTATTCAGGACATACTAGGAGTTTCAACTATAGCTCATATTATTTCAGGGTTATACAAGCATTATATTCCTAAACCCTCAATCCTACTAACCACCAGCAAGTTCAGGATGCCTTGCCATCCCTGGAACTGCATTGGCTGACGGATGGCATTTTTTTTGGAGTCTCTGATGCAACGCTTTACTGGACCAGGTTCAAAACGTTGCCCCGCATTGTCGCCGCCTGTGCTCTGCAGCTTGAATATGAGCCCAAGGAAGGCATTTTCTCTCGTCCATTGCTGCAAGGGGCTGGGCGACGCCTTTGCTGCGCACGAAATCTGCTCCCGCTCATAGCAGATTGAAGCCCGCGGCCGACAAAGGTGCGGCTGCTGCTCGCAATAGACAGCATTACCGTCGTTGCGAATGCTGCGGGACAGGGGGGTGGCACTTGTAACAACTTTGCTTGCAACGTTAGCAGCCTCGCAGCTCAGCAGCTTTCTGTTGGAGCCAATGCGCTGGCCCATGGACTAAAACTGATGTGCGCTTGGTGAAAAATGGAAGTGTTTGCAGCCAAGTCTTAACGCCCAGAATACCTTGTCATCCTAAACCCGAAGCTTTTTAAGGATCCTTGTCGGGATGCTACGGCTGCTAAGGGCTTGTAAGGCCAGACTGGTATCAGGCTGAGCTGCAGACGAATTATTTTGAAGGCTCCAAACCCAAGCTTATGGGGGGACATAGCGCACATTAGGAGAGGGTGGTTGAATAACAGGCAGGGGTTGATTACATCCAGCACTGAAGCACTCAAGCAACACCATTCAAGTGTCAGAAATTTGCTCGTGGTTTTCGGCTCCAACTCCTCCGTCAAGGAAGTGCATTGTCATCCAACAAGCATTTTCAGCTTGCTCCCACACACCGTCATTCCAGCGAAGTGTTGCTGATGGGTAATGGCAAGAGCTGCTGTCACGAGCAGGCAGTGTCGCCTTGGACAAGCATGCACAAGTGTTTCCCTCTTTCCCTGGCCGGTGTGACTTTGCATCCCCTGTGTCATATCAGTGCATCTCTCAGAATTCTGGGCGTAGTTGCCGGCTATGTACTGCCAGGCTGGACCAGACAGGGAAATTATCAAGGCCCAGGCGCCAGTAGCGGAGGAAGCCCATGGTTGCACAACCGGTTTCAGATTCTTTCTGCAATGAGCATCACATTGCAGCAGTGTTCCAAAGAGGAAGACTATGATCTTGGACGCTTCGACCTTGAGCTGTCACCTCCGAGCGAGATCGAGGCTCACCGGGTTTGTTGAGCTGTTGCTTAGCACAGAGGATTCATGAACGCTTTTGCGGTCGCAGGACGACAAGCCTCACGATGACATCGTCATGCATGAGCTGGCTGGTGAGGCGGCCTGTCATCTCAGTTCGGTTGAGGTTCCAAATGAGAGCTGGACTCTGGAAGTGTCCCAAGCGGCATGTGAACATGGTCGCTTTTGTTCCCATGCGTCAGGGCAGAAGGCGATCCTACTCAGCAATGACCCTTTCCTTGGATCCTGAGATGCTGGGCCTGCAATGTACAGCAGCTGCAAGCCACACAAAGAATGTTCCAGCAAAGCGAGCAGTCAGCCAAGCAGCCTCCTGGGCAGGCTTCAGGGATGATTTCGATAGTGGCTGCTGCCTCCCGAAGACTCAGACAGTCGGTTCTGTAACGAAGATGATGGTTTTGCTGTCCAATCCAAGGATGCTTCGCGCCATCTACCTGAGATCTTCGCTTCGAGGCCGGCTAGAAGTGTAGTGTAAGGCCTGTAGAGAGTTGCAAAGCTAGACAACACACGGCATGGCATGTTTGCTAGTGCTGCCAACGTGTGATTGCTGAGAGACGAGGCCATGGTGTATTATGGCGCTGCTCTCCAATCGATATGCCTCAGGACAGGTCACCAAGTTTTAAAAGATTTTCTCTCTGTTTTCGTACGAGACCTTGAGGAGCAGCGAGTCCGCTTGTGGGACAATTCCCAGCCGATGGAGGAAATCGATTTATTTTTTTCGCACACCTGGCAGACAGCTGGCAGATGGAAATATTTGGTCCTATTGCTGGAAACCGGGAACCACTGCTTCCTGATGGCCTGGGTCATGGCTGGTCTACTGATGCTGGTCCTCTGCCTGATGGGAACCATCCCATTGCCATTTGAAGCCACTACTCGTGTGCTGGACTTCGAGGACTGACTGAACGCCTAAGTTGTACTGGTTACATTTAGCGACTTGAGGTTCGGATAGGACATGAGAATCAAAAAGCGTGCCAAGCAATCCACGTGAAAGACGTGACAAACGTTTCGTTTTTGACAGCCTTGCAGCTGAAACGCGCAGGGTGTGACACCGATGGGTCCCTGGATCATGGTCTCTGGCATGCTGGCTTCAGTGCTCGGCTTGATTGCTTCTCCTTATGCGCCAAACATTTTTCGAAGAGACAAGTCCTGCTTCCTGGACGCCGCTTCCTGACTTCAACTGTGGGCTCCACTTTTTTTTCTTGGCAGAGCGTTGTTAGGATGATTCTGCCCTGGTCTTCGCACCCTGTGTAAGGTGTGCATTCATCAGGAGGACCCTGAAATGATGCATCGTGGCGTATACGGGCTCGGAGTGTTCTTGCGTGTCTCCAAAGAGCTGCGTGTGCTGTGGAGCGTGCCGTACTTCAGCAGGTAGCTTGGTTGGCTTGGAGTGGATAGAGTTTCTTTCCAGGGAGCTGTAGGAGAGCTGATAGGACAGGTTTCCACATGTCCCCACCTGGATTCCCAGTCTCAAGCGTTTCTGAGTGAGACCAAGTTGACAATCTTGCGACAAGGCTTTGGTGCGTATTTGAGATAGCAGCCTACAGGGCACTCAACCCATCCGGAAGGATCACTCTGCTACCTGTATTTACCGGCTGGATGATGGTTTTGCTGCTGCTTTGCTCTTACTTCCTTTCTGGATCACTCTGGCTCTTCACAATCACGGACAGCGTCAGCATCCTGGCATACCTGCTTGCAGTTTCGCCGCTCGCTCTGGCAATGCATGCCTTGCGCACGAGTTTTCGGCTGAGGCAAACCTTGGTGTCAGATTTGGAAAACTTCGATTTGGATTCTTGTAGCTGCCGTGTGGCAGAGGACAAAGATTTTGTGCACGAAGCGATCGTGGAGTGGTACAACAGTACAGGAGCCTTCACAGAGTATGTCCGTGGCGACTTGAGGCGCGAGCTTCTCCAAAGCACAGCTCGGAGCAACGTCCCAAGAGCTTACATTGCACTACTTGCCACTGCTCCTCTTGGTGCAAGCCTGGACATGTTTGTTGGTCTGTATCGTGGGGGTGCTCCCTGGAGATCCCTCCTGTCACATTTTGTTGGCCATACACTGGGTATTCATCTGCTGTGGTGGTTTCTGAGTATGAGATTTCTCGTGTACCTTTGCAATTTACCGCTTACACACGCAAGCCGCATCATTAACTTTCTCCAGACGCTGCTGCTCTTCTTGGCCTTCAATGTTTTCTACTTCTTTGGGGGGATGGTTGGCTTCCTGAGCTACTCCACCAACCTTGGCGCGGCCACGGCTTTTTCCAGTGTTGCTTTGTTCCTCAACTTGACCCCGGGGCCGAGCATTGCAGGTTGGATGAGCAAATTGCGCCCAAGCGGTGAGTCGACTGGTTCCCAGCCTCCCTCACCAAGAAACAAGGGGAGTATGGAGTCATGAATTTAGGCCAACGTGATGCTTTCACTTCGGCAAGCTTGAAGCATCCATGAGCCAGTGCTGTAGACTACTTTCCCCGCCGGCTGAAGGTGGGGTAGGGTGCTACATTGTCTGCAGCTCCCCGTTTTACGGTTTCTCGAAATTGTGTGTCCAGTCCATTCTTAGGGCTTCGTGTAGATTTTGATGATTTTTGTTTGTTGATGTATTTAGCAGACTTGGTCAATTTTGAGACATGCCCAGAGAGAGAGATATGTATATATATATAGACCTGCGAATGCAGGAAGTAGGAATGCAGGAAGTAGTTTGGACTCTCGCATCATCTCAGCTGTCAGCTTCGGATAGTACAGGTAGTCGAAACCATGCTTGTGTTTATTTGAAGCCAGTCGCTGACGAACAAGTGCCAGCGCCTGACCTCTCAAATTCTGAACCGCTATCAGAATAATTACTTGGTGCCAACGCAAACCACTATCCGTTGCAGGTCATCCTGGGGATGCTTGAGAAAATATTCTCCTGGTCCCTTCAGCCAAGCGCAATAGGTCAATTGCACACCAGTGCCTGCCCAATCATTGTGTAGCATAATCCTGTTTTGCAGGAGGAGGCGGAAGTTGAAGATCCCTTTCCTTTTGAGAATTGGGCTGGTTTGCGCGATCTGCTGTTTCTGTGTCTAGAGAGCTTTCTACTTTGCGCCTGTGTGCTGGTGCGGGCGCTTCTGTCAGCCCATCATCACCATCATCATCCTCCTCATCATCATCGCCTGTTGAGATTATGTGCATATCTGCGCCAGGGTCGACAGGATCGCATGGTGGCCCGATCGGCCGCACAGTAACACGAAGTAACCCACGTAGTCGGGCATACCCGTTTCACCAGGTCGGCAAGCTTCCAGGATTGCTCAGCTCCCTGTCTTCAAGCTTCTAACTGCCTGAAGATGGCAAGGAGACGGAGATATTGCTGGAAATCCGGAGCTTGAGAGGCCGTGGAAGCCGGCCAGGCACAAGTGCACACAACGAGTAGGCCAGGCAGAAAAACAAATCTGTGAGCGCATTTCCTCCAGGCAGTCTCCAGGCAATGGGATCAAGCGTCAACCCGTTGTTGCCACCATTGCTACCATTGTAACTTTGGCTGCAGCCACGACCACAAAGCCACTGCTGCGGCGGTGGCGATGACAGCGGTGACAACTGTGAGGATTGCCGATTTTGGCGACTGCCGATTTTGGCGACTGCCACGTTTACAATTATGCGCACCATTGCCACTACTGCGCCCACTGCCATAACCTTCATTCCCACTACTATACTATGACGACGTAGATCCTGTTTCTTTTATCGTTTATGTCCCTGTTGTCATTGGTACCAGCACTGTTACCTGTGGTAGTACCCATCGTCGATGTCACTGCCAGAATTGCCATTACTCCTACTGTTATTATGACTACTGCCACTGCGGCCACTGCTACTGCTGTTTCTACTTCTTGTGCCACTGCGCGTTACTGCACAGTGCCTACAACCATCACATTACATGTGCTATGCAGTTCCTGACAGATTTCTACAATGACTGCTACTTCCAGTGCTACCGCACTGTTGCCTTAAGTTGCTTCTTGGGTGCTAAGTCGCTTCCTGCAGCCTGTGGGCTCAATGCTCGGATTGGCCCTGGCAACCAAAAAGCCCTTCGGGCTCAGAGCTGCTGAGCCGCAAAGTGAGGCAATGATGGTTTTGGGAGAGTTCTACGGCTGTAGTTTCCCATGCATTCTCATGCTTATTCTGTCTTCAGATCCCACATCTGCAGCGCAGAGCCTTCTGAAGGTCAGCTCCTGTGTACTCTTCCTATTGACTCCTCTCCCGCCCTTGCGGTCAAACTGGAACAACACTTCTGACCATTAAACTGCAGAACCCAATGAAGTCTCAAAGCGCAAGGTCTTGACAAGCATCTTGGCGGCCTTGGTTCACGCTCCTGCCCTCCTGTGATGCTATGCTTTATGGAATGCACTCATTTCTCCATTGGCTCCGATTCATCGCGGTAGGCTTCAGGTCTGAGTTGGAGACCATGGCCAAATCCAAGGTCTACTGCCCAACTCCTTTTCCATATTTCCGTGAATGCCGCAGACCCAGTTGCTGCTCCGGATGGGTGGCCCCAAAATTGTAAGCTAGTGCAAGCGGGTGGTGGGATGCAAGCACTTTTCAGAAAGCAGCGAGTAAAATGAGTAAAAGAGGAGATGTGTCTTGGAGCGCAGGCTTAACAGGGAACGCCCCAAGCTTCCGGGGACGCAGTTGGACCCTTGTTTGGAGAAATGTGAGTAATTTCCAAAGTCATGGCCCTTTACTGGGGAACCCCATAACACTGCTCCTGATGCCCCCAAGAAGGAGCTACGAATGATGGAAGCCAGATCTTAGAGCTGTATCTTGCGTGACCTGAGCCCTAAGCTTAGTTACCTTGATATGGGACCCTTTTGCTTACCATGCATCCCTTTTCTGGTAATCTAGTAGAAATTTCTTGGTAGCAATCCAGACACAGCAGGTCAGAATGAACGCGCTCGGCTGCTTCTCCCTGCTTTGGGGTGATCCTGGCCTGGCTTCCGCTGGGGGCATTTGTTGAGTGGATGAATCGCGGATACGATGCTTTGGTGTACTGGGGCTTATGACATTATCAGCATACTGGGCTAAGACAAAGGGCGTGTGTGGTTCACCCTCAGAGTATCTTCAAAATTTATTCTCAAATTTGAAAAGAATCCACGCCAGGCCTACAGTGGCTTGCGGCTGCCTCAGAACATTGCAATGTGAGCATATAGTGCAGAGTTTCTCATGTGGGGTCTGCATGAGCTGCAGTATTTAGGCATGTTTAGGCACGGGTAGTGAATTCATGGAAAATCCAGCAGAGGTTCCCCCCCCCCCCGTAGTCGCCTTGCTGTGCTCGGTGTTGCCAGCTTAGCGATGCTTAGCAGCCCAGTGAAGCTGAGGCTGCAGGTGGAATGGCACCTGAAGCCCCGCAGAAGCGAAGGGTGGCGGTTACAGAGGACACTGAAATGCAGGGCTCTTCTGGGTGTCGTTCCTCATGGTAGCTGGAAACCAGGACGGAAGCGCAGAGTCCTCCATGGGGCCTCCAGGGCCCCGCCTCCTCCGCAGCGAACGAGGGGCGCTTGCGGCAGCGCGGCTCCCAGCTGCTGTGTCGCATGTGATATGTCCCCAACACGCGGATCTCCTTACTCCACTCACCCTTGTTGCGCAGACGAACCACTGATTTGGTGACCTCCTGATGTCTTCAGCACACTTCTTGGGTTCTGTGTGACACTGAACTTTGGATGAGGTCAGTGCTGATGGGATGTTGCAGCAAGGCGCCTTGACTAGAAGCTGAAATGACAACATCGCTCACTTTAGGATTTTGGGTTCTTTGTGGTACGTGGTGACGCATTTCTTGGCTGATTGGCAGGCGCTGTGCCGTCGTCCTTGCTGGGACGTGAGGCTTGCTAAGGGGCTGTTGGAGTCCTGTGTTACAGTGCCATTTGACTACAAATGCTCCGCAGTCGAGAAGGTGGGGCTGATCACGCATTCTCGCACACTTCAGGTTCAAGCAGTAAACCGCTTCAATGTCACAGCCCTCGCAAGCAGGCGAACGAAGCTCATGCTGGTCTATGCCTCAATGTGTGCAACACGGAAGTCTTTTCTCAACTTTGCCATAGAGCCAGTTTTTGCCATGACGCAAGATGTGTATTGCTTGGGATGCGGGTTGGTCTGAGATGGTTTGCTGCTCCTGGCGATGTCGTGGGTGTTCGGAGAATCAGTGTCAGCCAAGATTGTCATGTTGTCAAAGGCAACACAACGCCTGCTCCAATGAGCAAGTGCCAAGAGGATCCCTGCGCAGACTGCCAGTGGACAGCTGCTTGGCGAGACCGTTCACCACACGTGCTGAACTGTTGTTCCAAATAAATGTAGCAAGTGTCGCCATGGTTCTAGATGATATGGTGTTTTTGAAGCCGCGGTTTTCGCAAGATGAGAAAGCCTTCTGCAGCAAGGATTGGGAAGAATGGTCTCCCTGCTCTGTCTCCTGTGCGGGTGGTAGCCGCAGTCGTGGCCGCGCAGTGAAAGTCCAGGCCGCAATGACATGCCGGGATGTGCAGTAGGATGGTGCAGCTAACCGGCTCTTTCTTCTTACAGACGGCAACCTTTTCTGGAACAAAATCTCGGCACGCTGACTCTTGAGACACAGCCTGTTGGCTATGTGTGCATCATAATGGGTGACGTCTTGCTCATAGCACATGATCTCAGATTGTTTGCTGGGTCAGTTGGTTGCTGGAAGAAGGTCTGCTGTAGGTGTGTATCACCGCCTTGCAGCTCAGCGCGATGTGTGCCTTTGCGTTGAGCTGAGACGCGAAATTAAACCATGCTTGGCAGGCAGAAGGCGACGGTCAAGAATGCATAGGCAACTCGAGCCAGACCCAGGCAGAGGGATGTCATGCGGTGGGTGTTTCTTTTTATTATGCAGAGGAGCTTGGGGATGGGTTAGGGTCTAAGATAATGTTGGACCCGCTTTAGTATAGGGGGGTCCCCCCTAAACAATTGACGATTCCCAAAAATAACGGGCCACCCCCTGAATTTGCCCCACAATTAAAATCCTTTGGGCCCCCAGAATCTATCTCAACCCCAACACTAGTTTAACCTAAACATAATTAGGATACAACAACTTCCATTTTTTATTTCTGCGCCCAAAACTTTTTACTATTCCGGGTCCCTCAAACAATAGCCGATCCATAATAATTTCCCGAAAACTTTTTATTATAGCGGATCCCTGAAGCGGGTGCGACATTAGCAAGCCACACGCTAACGAATACAGTTATTGAACTCCCGATTTGCAGACTTGCTTTTGAGTAGTTTCTTCAGCATCCAGCAAGGGGAAGCCTATGCTAGCCGTCATTCCTGTATCATCATCATACAACTACACTATTACACATGCAAGCACCATATGCGCTAGGCGCCTACACTCCCTAAGGCTTGCCAAGGAATCCCTGCATGAAGCTTAGAAGGATATACGTCCTTGTCCACAACATAGAACAAGTTCACGGTCTGCCTTTAGGTACAGTCTTGCATATGAAGAGTCTGGTCTTACTCTTATTTGGTCCTGAAATGTGATCGTCAAGGCTTGCGGCGAAGCCGCCTGCCCGGTGGACTGCCAGGTGGCCTGTCGGAAGGGACTTGGGGAAACTTGGAGTTGACGCCCTTCAGGCATTTGGTTTTTAGGGGGTTTATGGGGTTTCGGTGGTAAGCTTCTAGAGGTTGAGGCTGAACAAATGACAGGGACTGAGGATTGCGACAGTTACAGAGGTTCATTCCCTCACCTCCGAAGAAGAACCTTCTTAGTTTGCATGCAACATCGGTAGGTAGCACGCTGCGGCCCCTGGCATCATGAGTTTGCTTGCTGTTCAAGCTATGACTTTTTCTGACTATAATAGACTACAATATAACTTATCAGAATATACCATCATATACCTTCCCATGTCAGTGCTATTCTCGTGGTTGTTCTTAGCCTGGCCTCTACCTCTCCTTGACAGCATGTTTGCTGCCAGGTTAGCGACTGGAGCAGCTGGTCTGTTTGTGCGCCTTACTGCCCCTTTCCCGCAGCTTAGAGGTTCCCTATACAGTTGTTCATGATTCTCACGTTTTCCTGATACGATCCCAGATGATTTTCAGATAGTTTCTGAATAATGTGTTCCCTGTCCGGTCCTGCAGGTCAAACGGTAACCTTTGGAGCATCAAGAACGCTTTTGCGCTGGTGTTCTTTTTTCCTGCAAGCGACAAGATGACCAAAGCCAGTGTGACAAGCAATGTCGTCTTGGGCAATCAATGCTCTGCTGCAAACCTAACACCTTAGTCCTGCCATTTCAAACCCTGCAGCCCACACAACCCTAAGCGGCAAACCTCAAATCCTCCCAACCCCCTACTTGCCTTGCGAAACACGCAGTCCACAGAGGCCACGGCACGCAGAACCGCAGCCGTACCATCGAGCAGCCTGCGGCCTTCGGCGGCGAGGCCTGTGGGCCTCTGCCACTCGGGCTTTATCAAGAATGATGCAGGATCAACATGCTGGTCCTTTTTTGGGTACCCTGAATGGGATCCGATTATGATGCGGACCGCAATAATGGGCTCTAATTTTTGCCCCCGCCATATCAAGGGATGCCAGGGGAGCATAGGCAAGGTTGTTATGGGGGTTGCTGAGTGCGTGTTTGCAAAATGTTCATCCTCATTTCTGAGTTTGAGATCTTGGAGCAACATTACGGGTTTTATCAATCCCGGTCCCTCTCTAGTGTCCGCATGCTGGGATGCTTGTGTAGCAGAGGGGAGCTCTCCAGTTCGGAGAAATCCCCTTTGTCGGTAGTGTGGTCCCGGCTTGCTTTTCCGCGACGGACGCAGTCCCATCTAATCAGTGAAACCATTGACGACATGGCGAGATCATGTGCTGGCCTAGTATGCCAGTAAGGTCCAGTAAGGTTTCAGCTGTCAGCCAAGGTCGGAAGTTAAGGCGTGCGCAAACTTCTGCATGGACTGCCAGCTGTCAGAGTGGAATCCCTGGAGCTCCTGCACTCGGAGCGGGTTCACTGTGCTGCTGCTCCATGTGTTCCGTTGCGGTTTTCATGTCTTCTTCCTTTGAGTCTGAGGGGGTGAAAGTCCTTCCAGGAGCTGTGCTAGCGGGTTGCGGACGCGGACGCGGAATGAAGCCCGCTGCTTGCAAATCTTCTCCCTTGGCCTTGGGCGTCCAGTAGGCAAGATTAGGCCTGAGACAGTTATGTTTTAGGATGGCACTCGCAGCTGACTGCATGCATCTTGAGCCCGACGGTCTGACGGGAGAGCGTAGCATCTCCAAGGTGTACGTGGCCCGGGAGTATACATCAAGCTCCCTTCTTGAGCTAGGCCTGATGATGCTGACGAAGCTCCTGCGAGTTGTAGGGGGGCACAAAATTAGGATCCCGGATGCAGCAACCCTAAGCTCCCGGAGGCAGCAAAGCTCTTGGCTACGAGAAAAAGCTGGGGACGAGGCCCTGCAGACAGGAACTGCTGGAAGCAGATATCGTGGAAGCTTGATGGCCTGTTTCTGCCCAGGTGCGATGCAAGTCACCAGCGAACGCTGGATGGAGCAGGAAAAACGCCTCAAGAGGCGCAGGCTCGCAACCAGGGTCAAGTGTTGTCAGTGTTGCGTCAAAACAAGGCAGGTCACGAAAGGTATTGAAGATGAACCAGCTGAATGTGGGTTGTTCAAAATTGTGGGTCACTTTATGGTGCCAATCGAACTCCCGTGTCTAGCGTTACAAAAATGGGATCATGTGTTTTGCGGCGCCGACAGCTGCAGGCTGCATGCAATTTGGATCCAAACTGCGGCGCCCTCTATGACCAGGGCTGCAATAATTGGCTGCTTGGCTTCAGGCTATTCAGGCTTTGCCAAACGACTCCTCGTGCTATGTCGTTTTTGAATGCCTTGTGAGAAGCGGAGGTTGACCATTTGCTCAGAGCTCAGCCGACAAAAGTTTCTGGGATGGCCATGTGGGTCGCCTTGCCTTCCTTACCAGTGCCTTGCTTCAGGTGACGTTGGCTTTGTCTTGGAAGCTGAAGAAAATGCCTGCTCCTACGTGAAGAAGGACTGGTCAGGTGAGACATAAAGCTGCTTGCAGCAGTTTAACAGGTAGCAAGTCTTTGTCTTGCCCGTCTCGCCCATTGATTTGCTTTTGAGATCAGCTTGTTGTGCACACATATGTTGTTGACTCCATCTGCACTTTGGTGGGTTTCTCATACTCGAGGAGATTGGTGCGGATGTGCCCTGCACTGGCGAGATTAGTGAAGAGGAGGACTGTCTACTGAGTACTGAATGGCATGGCGAAGAGCCTGACCAAGAGATGCCTCGTGATGCCATCCAAGCCTGTCCAGGAGTGTAGTACACAAGCCTGTCCCGTTGACTGCCGCCAATCAGACTGGACGGATGCCTGGCTGCTAAGTCCGCTAAGCAGGCCGAGGCTCGGGTTCGAGCATTCTGGACGGGGGCTGTCAATGGAAATTTAAAGGCTTACAGGGGCTTCTAGGTGTTGCATCTCGTTTCTCAGGACTGGACAGAGTGTTCGCCGTGGTGTTCGGGAACCTCGAACAGGCTGATGGCCACAAAGAGTGCACGCAAGAAGTGGTTTCATGGAAACCTCATCCCTCTCCCTCCTCTCGATATCCGAACTTTGCGCAGAAATACTCACTGCCAATGTTGGCGAGGAGTTTGCTTTGCATGTGGTGCCCCAAAGTGTGCAGGACACGGACCACGACTCGCCAGCCTGCCAACGGGGGCGTTGCTTGTGGCACTGTAGCAGAGGCGCTGCAAACTCTGCAACCTGCAAAGTCCCACTTGGCCGAATCTTTGCTGGCTGTTTTCCTCAGTCTTCCTCTCTTTGCATCCTTGCACTCAGACGACCGGTGACCAGTCCGTTGCAGGTGCAGAACTGCACCAATGAATGCGTGGATTGTGGCTCATCTGTGATTTGTGCTTGGCGTAGTTGTTACTTGGGCTAACATGTGGCCACTGTACTCAGCTCTGCTTAGAAGCACGGCACCATGCAGCATTGCATACGTTGAAAGATGCCTGATCAAAGTTGAGGCGTTTGGGGAAATTGGGTTGCGTGGTCCACCTGCCCCGTGACTCGTCTCGAATCTGTTCATGCGCGCACACAACGATGACTCCATATGACTCCCTGCATGTGCGACTGACAGGTGAGCTGCGGGGGCGCCAAGCAGCAGCGCAGCCGCATCGTGCTGGTGGAGCAGAGCGGCCGCGGCAAGCCTTGCACAGGACGCCCTGCTTTGAGAGTCTCTTTGGTCCTTGTCCTCAGTGCCTTTTTTTGTTGTACCGGCGCAGGCAATTCTTCAGAGGTGCGTGCCTGCGGTGAGCTGGCCTGTCCAGTAGACTGCAAGATGGAGGCTTCTTGCCGCAGAAGCGAACTTTTTCCTGAGCCCGGCATGTCCTGCAACTCTGTACCGAAGTGGTTGGCCTGAGGAGTGGACAGACTGGACGGAATGCACTCCTTACTGTGCAGGGAGCCAATCCAGAACACGCAGTCCCTTGTCAGAGATGGTGCGTCCTCCACATGTTGTGATGCACATCTGCATGCCAAGCCCATAGACATGGATGCTGCAGGCATTCTGGTGGAGCCTCAAAACGGCGGTCAAACCTGTGGCGAGACGTCGCTGCTGGTGAACTGCAGCCAGATTCTCAGAGTAAACTTGCAAGATGGAGAGACTGAGAATCCGCAATCCGGTTTGAAAATACTTGCATGTTGGCTTGGAGGCTCGGTTTGAAACGCTTTATTCATCCTGAGGTCGGTTTGTAGACCGATAGAATCCATTTTGGAGCATGCTTCACATGGCTTCGCCTGCCCGAGGCAATGCTTGTGTTGACTGCGCAGTGTCTTCCTGGTCAGCGCGGGCCTGACACTGTCAGCCATACTCCGAAAATGAAACAGCTCCATGAATCTAGAGCTGCAGATCACGTTTGCACTTTCTTTGTAGGGTTCTGCACTCCAAAGTGCCCGGAAGCGTCACGAGATGCCACCAGGTTTGGTCTCCTTGTTCCGTAACCTGCGGCAGTGGCCAGCAGTCCAGGACTGGGGCGGTTCGAGATGCTTCAGCTTTGACCCTTCCACAATACCACTCGGACTGGTTCTTTCATGAATGGGCGTATCACAGAGGCCCAAGCTCCCATCTTTTAGTGGAGGAACATGTTTGACCTCACTTGCCACATATGTGAGGAAGAGGGTGATCTTGGTCGAAGCCGAAGGCTGGGTGCATTCAAAGCAGTCCCCTTCTCATTAGCTTGCCAAAGGTCACCCCTCGCTCCATTCCAAGATTCTGAGCTGGACACCGTTATGGCAACAGCATGCAACTGCATTTGCCCAGCTACTACTGCCGCTGCTGAAGCTGGTTCTCAAGCTAGTGCTTCTGCTTCTGCTGCTCTGTTTTTTCTTGTCTACTAGTTGCCAGTACTTGAAGAAGAAGCAAGGCAGTACTCTGTACTTACTCGTGCTGCCATTGCCGTTGCGGCCGACGCCGTGGCTCGTCGCTGCTGCTGCTGCTGCTGCTGCTGCTGCTGCTGCTTCTGGTATCTGACTTGCAGCCACGTCTTGGTGCAGGTCAGGGTGCCCCGTGCCCTGAATCTTTGTTGGACGAGCCCCTCGGAATGTAGTTGACAGCGGGGCTTTGACTCGAAACTTCAGAACCACCGAGAAACTCAACCCACCAAAAATGCAAAAAGGCAGAACATGTCTGCAGCCCTTGTGACGCTGCTATCTAATCTCTACTCTGAGGAAAGAGGGCTGCAATGCAACCGAATGTCCCGTTGCCGCTTGGCTTAGTGGTGTTTGTGGTTATTTTTGGGGCAATAGGGGCATTCTCACCTTTTCTACTGTTCACGTGAGATTTCAGAGGCCATAAAATCCCAGCAGTCTGGATGCTCTGCAAGGATTGTGCCTGGGAAGATTGGGCCCCGTGGAACGGCTGCCCGGCGACCTGTGGAGGAGCCATGAAGAATCGCACCCGAGGCTGGCCAAGTAGACTGCACCCGACAAACACGTTGAAGAATGTAGGATCCAGGATATACCTCGGTGTCTGCATGTTTCTTCGTTTTGCGGAGTGTGGCCAGCGGACGCCGGCGCCAGGCAAGATGGCAGAGCAGAAGTTCGGCGGTGTTCCCTGCGAAGGCCGGTGCTATCCAAGAATGGCGTCGGAGCTTGATATTCTTCGTAATCTGAGGAGAGGCCATGGAGCTTGGATCCTGCGCAGAGATGGTGTGCCCGCAGGAGCTTAGAATCAGCTTTGCAAGCCTGCTTCGGCATATGGATTAAAGGTTAAGCGCAGCACTAGGGCCACTAGAATCGTAGTGAGCCTCTCGTTAGTTTCTCAGTTCTTTCATTGCTATGCCGCTGCTATGTTGCCAGGACTGCCTCTGGTCAGAGTGGGAAGCCTGGGGCAACTGCACGAGGCAGTGCGGCGGTGGCAAACAGTCGCGCTACAGGTACATCAAACAGGATGCGATGGGAGAGGCCAAGGTTTTGCTCAACCTATCAGCATGTGGGTCGAGCGCATGATGAGGGAAGTATGAATATGCGTAGCAATGGGCAAGGAGATGCATGAGAAAGTCACCTACCTGAAGTCTTTGTTGGGATTTTATGTTTCATAATGTTTCATATGGTTTTAGCACCTGCTTTTGGTAAGTGGCAGTGAATCTGGCCTGGCGCAGATCCCTGTCCCTGATCACTAGGGCATCAATTGCACCGGCACAGCCCGCGATGACCGCACCTGCAACGAGGAGCCGCGGAACGCGCTTTTTTGTTCGGTTTTGCTTGCCTGAGAAGAGATGCTTTGTTCAAGTCAAGAACCGTGGCTTTGCAGGACGCGTGCCCCAAGGACTGTGAGTTTCTGGAGTGGGCCGACTGGAGCGCCTGCTCTGTTACCTGCGGGGCTGGAGGCAACAAGACAAGGTCCAGGAAAGTCGATGCAGAGCTGAACGGCGGCGAGCCGTGTGACCCTGCAGTTCCGCTACAGGAAGCCGTCGAATGCGGCACGCCCGGATGCCCGCGGGATTGCATCTGGCATGATTGGGGCACCTGGACCAACTGCAGCAAGACCTGTGGCCTGGGGTTCAACGCGGGAACTACCACCCGACACCGGGTGCAAAGCGTCACCGCCGCGTTTGGCGGAAAGGCCTGCGAGGGCAAGGCAGTTCACACTACCCGCTGCAACGAGGTCCTTTGCCCAGTGAACTGCGAGTGGCTGCCTTGGACAGGATGGACCGAGTGCATTCAGCCATGTGGGCGCAATGGAACACGAGAAAGGTCTCGCAACAAGACTGCTCCAGCCCATGGTGGGGAGGATTGCGTGGGTGACTCCACGGAGATATCCTCTTGCAGTGTGCTGGGCGGCTGCTCCGTCAACTGCACGTGGGAGGACTGGAACGAGTGGACTGCCTGCTCAGCGTCCTGCGGAGAGGGTAACAGAGTAAGGCCCGCATCTTCTCAAAGCTGAATGAGATCCAAAGAAGCCAGCCAAACTTTTGAGAAGTCCAAGATGGCCTGCCATACAAATTCAAAACATGCCTTATGACCATGTTCACCCCATCTCGAAGCTGCCACACAACAAAGCTAGAGCTCTTTGAATCTCGGGGATTCTGCAAAGCTACTAGACTCTTCTACAAGTGCCCATCAAAAGGATCCGAGTAGTTTGGCGATACTTGGAGGGGTCACTTGTGTTGAGAAGTGGCCCTTGTACCATTGAGATCCCTTGTTGTCGCGAGAAAGCTTGGTGGCCACTTGTTGAGGGTCCCCATACTAAGGACCTGTAAGGATGATGCGATGGATACTAAACATCAAGCATGACCCTAAGTGCCATATATAATATATGAAATATATATATATATATTACATTGGGAATTATGGTACTGTAGTATGCTAAGGTCATGCAGGGTTTATGATCACCTTCCTTCAGGATCACTTGTGAAGGCTCAAAGCATGGTGTGCCATATTCAGAGTGCCGCAAGCAAAACGTAGCACGCAGAGTGCAGACCCCCAAGCACCAAGCTATAAACCCAGAAGCCCTGCAGGTTTCGCTTCGTGGCCGACGAGGCAAGAGGGCCGAATGGCAAAGCGTGCAAGGGTCAGCCTCAGGCGGGGCGCAGCCAACAGTTGAATTAAAGAAGCCTTGGGGTTTCTGTCATTATTTTGGGCTTGCAAACTCAAACCACTGGGCAATCCGGGGTTGAAAGCGTGCCAGATCACAGTTTCTTTGTGATTTGCAGCTTGCGTGGCTGTGTGATGAAGCTTGTGGCGTTGAGGATTTTAGCGAGCTAGTTTGTGCGTCGGGTCTAGTTCCTTACCCCTGACAGGAGGAGGAGTTCTGCAATCCTGATGTTGCCTGCCCAGTCGACTGCATCTTCAATGACTGGAAGGAGCCTTCTCCTGATGTTTTGGGCTTATCGGACGTTCGAGTAGACCCTACAAAGACTTCTCAGAAACCTCTGCGCCCCACAACCTAATGTGCTGAAACACACCCTGCCAGAAGGTGTTCAAAAACAGTTCATGTCTCAGGACTGGGGTGCTTGTGAGCCCATGCCGTGTGGCCCTGCCAAGAAGCTGCGCGCCAGGACGACAGATATGTTTGTTGTTCTCATTCTGCAATAAGTTGGATGATGGTTCGCCCTTCCCAATATCGTCATGCATATGAGATTCTGAAGCCAGGACAAAGCTGGCAGCCAGATATGGCGGCAGGCCCTGCGAAGGCAACTCCACTGAGGCAGCACCTGAAGTACCCACACATCCACTTTGTTTCGTAACGGTCAAGAGTTCAAGATGAATACTGTCTTTAGCGGAAGGCCGTATCAAGTTGGTCCATAACCTAACGAGCTAAAGGGCTCTTTCAGGAGAGCCATTTGGAATGGAGCTTATCACAGGCAGGAGAACGTGTTTGATCTCGGTAATGTTACCGTGACATTAATAACCCCCCCCCCAGAACTTGTTTTGCGATTCGGGCTAATGGAAGGGGGGGGCTCAATAATAAATGACGGTGGTGGCGGTAGGCTAGGTAGTGCAGCTCGTAGTACGAGTAGTACAAGTAAAAGGACTTCCAATAAAATCGGGATATTTCGGGCCGGAACAATATATTATTGCCTGCCACCCCTTTATTATTGCGATTTGGACCTAAGTAGACCTTGTTGGGCTCAAAACTTGTTAGAAAGCAACTTTGATTGTACGGGATTTTTCCGGTCCGGCGACAAAATGCTATTGCCACCCCTTTATTAATTCTATGGTCACATTAGGGTCTGAGTACGATGCAGGCTGTAGCACAAGCAAGAAAGCATATTGCTGCCAGGTCGAGGAGTGCACAATTGAAGTGACTTGGATGTGCCATCCCTCATCCCTCATCCAGGAACAGTACCAAGTCGAAGTAAATCCAATATGTCGTCATTCAGCATGTATGGCCGGCTATCTGGTGCATCACCCCCGTGTCTTCTGCGAGCCATACCTAGCTGACCTAGCTGCTAAGGGAGGGCGAGTCATCGAGTGCGACGACAACGGCAAGCCAATTACAACAACTTTGACGACGACTACTCTTACAAGCACAACCACAACAACGACGCTGACCAACACAACGACCACGGTCACTGATACAAGTACAACCACCCTGACCACGACAAATACCACGACGACTCGCACCTTGTCAATCGAACTGCCAGGGTCAGTGAGGGATTCCAGGATGGAGGTGCTTTGACCTCTTGTGCTTTCCGGCCGTGGAGTTGACACGTTGGGGTTTCCTCATGAGTCTATTGAACATCTGCTGCAAACTTGGGGTTTGTTTACTCTCCGTACATGTTCGCAGTAAGTAGTCTTGCTGAATAAGGCACTGGCTTGGAAGCGGTCGCGGTGGCCACTGCAGCTGCGTCGGAGGACCAGAAGACATCATGGCAGAGGGGGTATTTGCGCCACGTTTCCGACGGACCCATTCGCATGAGGGGAGGAGGGCTCCCCAAAGGCTGCAGGCTTTGAACACATGCCCAGCATTGCCCAGCATTGCCCAGCTGGTAGCGCTGCCACATCTTTTGCCTGGGACAGGAGTCGGTCCGTGGCAGCGAAGTACTCGCCACTCTCTTGAATTGGCACACAGGTTTGACTAAATTCTATCGAAGGTAGGTGCTGCCTCAGGAAGTCGCGAGCCCGGAGAAGTTTGTCTTGGACCTGCAAGGGTTTGGGACGTTCAGGGTTAGGAGTTGAGTTGGACAGATTGCAGGAGTGATGCGTTGGAAAGAAGTCCGCAGATGTTCAGCCCTGTGCTGGGTAATGTTAGGTGCCTGCACGAGTTGTGTAGGATCACGTTCTCGTTTGGGATCCACAGAGGGTTCAGGCAGTAAGCCCAACTCCGTCCTGCACCCCGTACCAGATCCTACTCTACATCTGGACAACGTGTCCCAGATCCTTTGGGCTCCAAAGGCTTCAACCTCATTGCACTGCAAAGCCGCAACAAGCGCATCTACACCGTCATCTTAGAAATCTCTGAATCTGGACCCCTGCTCGCAGGATGCAGCTGCAAAAAAGGCCGTGAAGGAGGCCATCGCCCAGGAGGCGAGGTGATAGCAGTACGAGAACGCCAAGGTAGCATTTCTTTCCGCTGATGCAGAGTAAAACAAAAGTGAGGAGTAGATTAAGAACTGCGTCGTCATGGTCGTCGTCGTCGCCGTCCTCGCCGGTGTCGTCGTCATCGTCAGCATCATCGTCGTCGTCAGCGTCATCGTTTGTGTTGTGGTTGTGGTTGTGGTCGTGGTCGGAGTTGTGGTCGTGTCATGGTCATGGTCGTTAGTACTAGTGCTACTAGGGGTGGTAGTCATCGTCGTCATCGTCATAGCAGTAGTCGTCGTAGTCGTCGTAGTAGTCGTCGTTGTCGTAGTAGGAGTAGCAGTAGTAGTAGCAGCAGCAGCAGCAGTAGCAGCAGCAGCAGCGCCCTTTCGGCCGTGTGAGAACTCTACGCTTTTCAGGGTTTGGGGTCTCTTACCGGGAAAATTCAACATATCAAGGGCTTTTATGAGGTCTGCATATTTCCACGACACGGCTGTGAGTGAATGAAATAGGAGGAGTTGTAGGAGTAGTGCGAGTAGGAGTAGGCGTGTATCCCTCCTGCTGCTGCTGCTGCTGCTGCTGCTGCCACTACTACTAGGTGCATGGAGCGTGTTCGGCCGTTGGCCAAAATTACGGTTTTCTTGCCGCAATCGGGGGTTTAAAGCGAATTCACAATTTTGGGATCCTGAAAAACTCTATCTTCGACTCTTCAAGAATCCGGACTCTCAGATAGGCTCTAGGTGTAGGTTAGGGATTGTAAAGTACATGTAAAACTTATGTAAAACTGAGGGGCCTTTGGGGGTTCATACTTGGACGTCACATTTTTGTCATATACTTGTGACAGGCTCAAAACACTGGCAAACGTGGGACAATATTAATGCAGACCTCATAAAAACCCTTGATGTGTTGAGCTTTCCCAAGGTAGGAGACCTCAAACCCTAAAAACATAGAGTTTTCACACGACCGACTATGCGCATGCTACTGCTACTGCTACTGTACTGC